AACATCACTTGATGATATAAACCCTGAAGAAAACAGATATAGAAGAAACCAGACCCAAATGTGATTGAAGCTACATATGACAAACCAATAACCAGCATCATGCTAAATGGGGAAATCTAAAAATATTCTCCTTAAAATTGAGAATAAGACAAGGAGGGCCACAGATATAGCTCAGTGGCACAGGTGCCTGCCTGGCAAGCATAAAGTCCTGAGTTCAAGCCCTTGTACCAAAAAAAAAAAAGAAACAAGACAAGGGTGTCCCCTATCACCTCTTCTATTCAACAAAATACTTGAAACATTAGCCAGAGTAATTAGGCAAGAGAAAGAAATAAAAGGGATACATACAGAAAAGAAGAACTCAAATTATCATTATTTGCAGATGACATGATATTTTACATAGAAGACCTAAAGAATACCACCAAAAACTCTTAGAACTAACAACCAACTTCAGCAAAATAGCAGGATACAAGACTACAAGACCAACACAAAAAAGTCATTAGTAATGATGTATATGAACAATTAATGGGATATGGAAATTATAAAAATAATATCATTTATAGTAGCTTCAAGAAAAAATGAAGTACTTAAGAATTAACCTAAGGAAGTAAAAGACCTCTATAGAGAAAACTACAATACTCTGAAAAAGGGAATTGAAGAGAACATCAGAAAATGGAAAGATGGGGGCTGGGGATTTAGCTCAGCGGCAAAGCGCCTGCCTGGCAAGCGCAAGGTTGTGAGTTCGGTTCCTGGTACTGGAGAAGAACCAAAAAAAAAAAAAAAAAAAAATGAAAAGATGCCCTTTGCTCCTGGAGAGGCAGAATCAATATTATGAAAATGGCCATACTCCCAAAAGTACTATACAGATTCAATACAGTTCCAATTAAAACACCAAAAGCATACTTTACAGATCTAGAGAAAATAATCATGTGGAATCAGAAGAGATCCCAAGTGGCAAAAGCAATTCTGGGCAACAAGAGGAAAGCAGGAGGCCTAGCAGTACCTGACTTCAAGCTATCCTACAAAGTTATGGCCATAAAAACAGCATGGTACTGGGACAAAAACAGATACAAGGGTGAGTGGAACAGAACTAAGGATACAGAAACCTCCCAGATACATTCAGCTCTTTGATCTTTGACAAAGGGGCCAAAAGCCTATGTTGGAGGAAAGACAGCATATTCAACAAGTGGTATGGGAAAACTGGTTACCTGTGCACAGAAGATTAAAACTGGACCCTTACCTCTCACCATATACTAAATTAAAATCAAAATAGATCAAAGATCAAACATTAAAACAGAAACATTAGGGGCCAGGGATATAGCTCAGTGGCATAAGTGCCTGCCTGGCAAGCACAAGGTCATGAGTTCAATTTCTGGTACCAAAAAAAAAAAAAGAGAGAGAAACAGAAGCATTAAACCTACTGGAAAATAAAACTACTTAAAGACATAGGTGCAGGAAAGGTTTTTCTAAGCAGAACTTCAATTGCACAAGAAGTAACAGCAAGAATCAATAAATGGGATTATATCAAACCAAAAAGTTTCTGTACAGCAAAGAATCAATTAGCAGAGTGAAGAGACAGCCTACAGAATGGGGAAAAATTTTTGCCAGCTACTCCTCAGGTAGAGGACTAATATCCAGAATATACAAAGAATTAAAACAAAAAAAAGTAAACCACCTAAAAGTAAAGCTCCAGTCAAGAAATGGGCAAGAGAAATGAACAGACACTTCACAGAGTAAGAAATACAAATGACCGACAAATATATAAAAAACATGCCCAACATCTCTGGCCATTAGAGAAATGCAAATTAAAACAACGTTAAGATTCCATCTTATTACTCCAGAAAGAGTGGCAATCATTAAGAATGCAAGCAATAACATGCTGGTGAGGCTATGGTAAGAAAGGAAACCTCCTTCATTGTTGGTGGAAATGTGAACCAGTACAACCATTATGGATTCAGCATGCAGAAAACTCCCAAGCAACTGAAATTAGAAATTCCATATGACCCAGTGATTCCTCTGCTAGGAGTCTTCCCCAAAGAGCTTAAGACATCGTAGTATAACAATACATGCACATCAATGTTTACAGAAGCACAACTTGTAGTAGCTATATCCTGGAAACAGCCTATATAACATCAACAGATGATCAGATAAAGAAAATGTGGTATCTATATAAAACGAAATACTACTGTGCTATAAAGAATGACAGATATGAGACATTTGTAGGAAAATGGATGCACTTGGAAAATAACATGTTGAATAAAATAAACCAGACACACAAGCTTAAATACTGTATGGTATTTCTCATCTGAGTAAGGTAGAGTACAAACAAAAAGAATAAGGATAGATGGAAGGGGAAAGGAGATGGATCTCTTACAATAGGAAAGTGGTCTTAAGGGGAAAAGTGCAGAGTGAGGAGAGGAAGGGGAGGGGGAATGGGAAAAAAATAGAACAAAGATCTGCCATTTACAGGAACCTAATGACTTCAATTAATGTAAACACTAGATGCCATAACATGAGCTAAGATTAATAATATCAACAGGAATGAAAAAAGGGACAGGGGGATTGGAGGAGGAGGGAGGGAGAGGAAAGGTGAAGGAGATTAGAAAAAAAATGAAGTAAGTACAAGTACCCAGTCCTCATGATAACTGCAAATTGTCCAAACTGCAAACATCAACTAATAAAATTTAAAAATCAAAGCAAAGAAGGAAGAAAGGAAAGAAAGAGAGCTGGGAATCTAGCTCAGTGTGAAGGGCCTAGATTCAATCCCCAGAGCTGCAAGAACAAAACAAGCAAAAAACCTTGAATGGAAGCAATGTCCATCACTTCCAGCAGCAAGCGTATAGAAGAAATGCAGGCTCTGCCCACTGGCTGTCCCTGGCCGCAGTACCCAGCGATGGTCTTGTGTCGGCTCCTCAGCTCAGGTCCCTGGCTGTGATCTGCAGCGCAGCCCCAGGCCAGCACAAAGGATGTGAAACACATGATGGTGAGGTAAACAGGTGTGGGTCTAAGTTCCTGAGACTTGCGGTGGTCACTATCATGTAGCTCAGACCAGCCCAACTGCTGTGGCGGCTGAGCCAGGTTAGCGCCGCAGAGGTCCTGGACTCCAAAGCCGATGTTCTTATTCACAAATGAATGGGTGAATAAATGATTTTTGTCTGAAGGACAGGTTCAACAGTACTAACTGAAATAAAAGAGAGAGGAAAATAAAAAGACTACAGACCACTAACTGATGCACTTGAGACAGCAGAGGTCAAAGGAATAGCATTCTGCAGCCAGGATTGAAAATATTCAGGGAGAAGTAGAGGAATGGGGCTCTCACTGTCCCAGCCCTCCAGAGCTATGCGGTAGAACAGAGGAGACACCCAGCTTGCACCTCCCATTGCAGGTACCAGAACATTGACTCAAGCAGGTCAAGGGGGGCAATGGGCATAGTGTGGCAGCACCAGTCCCTCTCTGCGCTTTGAGAGCCTGACCAGTCACAGGGCAGAGAAGCAGTCTCAGACTGGGCTATTCAAAGTCCTTCCCGCAGCAAGGAGGGGCTGTCCTCCCACTCTGCCATCCTGCCTTCTACTCACTGCTCTTCCCCTAAAATAAGATGGGAAAGGATAGCTTCTCAGCACGCAGCCCTCTTCAACTGAGAAGCAACCAAGATTGCCTGGTTAACTAACACTGATGCTTAATTTGACATCTTGCGGTGCCCACCAGCAATGTGGAATCCAATTCAATTCATCTGCCTCACTTTGAGTTCTCCAATTTAAGTGACTTTTTCAGATATCAAACTTTAATTCTATGCAAATCAACAAATGCTTATCTAGGGTCCATAATGTGCACAATTCCAAGGCCAGGAAATAAATAAAACATCTTCTCTGCCTCTAGGGACTTACGATCCAGGGAGGGAGAAAGATGTAAGTAACAGGGACCATAATTCCAGGCAGAGTCTGATAAAGGCTATAATTAAGGGACGGAAGCGATGGAAAAACAAGGGGAGGGGGAGAGATCCAAATTCTAATTTCCTGTCGGTGCCACAGAACTTACTTGTCTGTTTCTCAGTGTGTTTTTCTCCTACAGTGCAATCCTTACCGTTTCTGTGGTGACTTTGACAGTCACTGTAACAGGAAGCACAGCACACGGCTGTGATACAATGCCAGTGGGGCCCCCACTGTAGGTAGGAAGGGTGGTGGCCTCCGTGAGACCCCAGGGTGCCATTCTGTCGCCAAGGACTTGCGTCCCAGTCTCTGCAGGCGGAGGGCTCCTTGAGCTGTTCTCTGTGGATCTCTGCTTTTGTCCTCCTAACATATCATACACAACTGTCTGGGCACTGGGGGCTGCTCTGCCTTTCTGCTAAGTGAAATGTATCCCCTGTGTGACAATAATTTTCCCCTCCACGGGATTTTTTTTTCCTCTCTCCAACTACTTCAAAGCTTTGGGCTTAATGGTAGGGGTCATTGCAATTCCACCTTCAGATAAATGACGACTGCAGTATTATCTTTCCTAAAATTACTGTTAACCCTGAGATCTACCCTTCATATCAAGTAACTAGAAGGGGAGAGGAATTTTCATACACTATAATAAATAAGAAAAGAAAACTTCATTAATTCAGATTCCATTAAGATGAATCACACCAAGAATGAAGCCAGCAGACCAAGGAGCCTGTCGTATATCTGCATGTGTATGTGAGTGAATAAAACTGTGCGGCTTGGGAAGACACGACCCTTGTTCTGCTGCGTGGAGATCACAGAGTATATGCTGGGATGCTGTGCCTGGCACACAGGGGTGCTCTGTAAATGCAAACTGAAGCAGAGTAACCGCATGGGCCATGCGTGTGAAAAAAAGGGAACCTACTCATAGACATTAGGGTAGAAAACTGAACGTCCTTGACATAAGCTGGCAGATTGCTCGGTATAACCACATATTCGTTCACTAAGCCAGGGAATCTATTCAACACACATTTATTGAGTTCACCCTGTTTCAGACTCTGTTTTAGGTACTGAGCTTACCTGGCGGACAAGGCCTTGTGCAGACTCCATTCGGTGGTGACACACACAATGAAGAGGCAAACAAACCTAAAATCAGGTCCTGGTTTGTTCCGTAAAGCACCTGCAGCAGTGATGGTACAGTGCTGGATGGGAGCGATTCGGGTGTCGGTGCAGGCTTCTCTGAGCGATGACAGGTAAGCAGCTTCTTCCACTGTTGTAAAGGGAAAGGGTTGGGACGGATGGTAGAGCTAGCACAAAGACTCTCATGTGAAAAGTGCTGGAGTGGGAATGGGAACACGAAGTAACCTGAAAGTTGAGAAGTATGCACATAAACCGACATTTAACAGACGGAGATTTGTTGCCAATGTCTGCATATCTCAATCTGAAGGATTCGAAGATTCCTCAATTCAAAGATTCTAAGACCACACCTTCATCACACCCAGGTGGCAGTGGCAGGCGTGGAGGAGAGAAGGGGGCTGTGGGTCAGACAGCTGTGGCCCCAGGGAAGCCCCTTCCCTCTCTGCCCTGCACCACTTCCCCCAGGAGGGCCTACAGGGGCAAGTGAAATGATTTGTCAGTGCTGATAGTTGTCAACGCCAGGCAGGATTTAGGACCTGTGGCAAGAAGTGTGTGCATGGGCCCTTTGCCAAGTCTGGCCTCATGACCTGAGATTGAACTGCAAAACGAGGCTGGCTTGCAAAATCAGTCCATAAGGACCACCCTAAATTGGCTGAGACTTGGAGTATAAAAAATGAGGAATACGCGAAAATTGAGGAGTAAGTGAGACAAGCTTCCTCACCTCAGTCTGGTGGGCCTTAATGAACACGCAAGCACTACAGTGGGGCGGGAAGGAGTCATGCCTCTCTTCTGGTACTTAGAATGAGAAGTGCTGGAGTCACGGCTCCTGGCCTGGGAGAGAAAGGAGTATTGGAGGCGGGACTGACAGCCGCGAGACCAGCTGGGATGCTCCAGAGCCCCAACCTCGTGACACTGTCATCCAGACACTGTAACCAATAGCAGAGGGAAGACCCACATCTATATGAACGGATTAAAATGAATGTTTTCCTCTCCTGGATTAGGGGATATAAAAGTCATTGTAGAGACCACAATAAAATACAGTCATTGATAAGAGGTATTAACTTCTGTTCATCATATTTGTTTTCCAAGAAATATCCTATCCTAAGGATTTTTTAAAAATATTCAACATTTAAATTAGTACATGAAAACGGCTTTCATTTCTCTTCTACCTTGCAACTCCAGGGACTAACATTACTCCTGGGATTCCTCTGGTTACTTTTCAACCTGCTTCAGATAGCTGGAAATCCTGTAACAATACCTTTTGTTAATAACACTTTAAATTCTATGTATTCTTAGCTCTCTGAAAGTAATTCTGCTTTTAACAAGACTTATTATTATTAATTAGTTTTCTTCTTTAAGGTTCCAGTCCTCCAAAGACACTTTGAAATGTAACTTTTGCTTGCAATACTCTTTTTCTTAGAATAGCCTTCTTCTCAGCCTTAGAAAGAGTATGATAATAACCAATTTGGAGCTTAACAGCAAAAAACATTAGTATTAATACTGCCAATTTTCTATTACATGAAAATGCAAGCACACCATGAGATTTTGGCTTTGACTAAATCCACAGGCTCAGATGCTGAAAAGATAGATTGTTCTTTTGGGCTTCTTAGGATAAAATTGAGTCAAGTTTGTGTTAGCATGAAAATTAAATTGTGAATATTATCATAATGGACATTTCTTACAATGTAAGCTGGTCTTTTCATCAGAAACTGAAAATGGGGGAAAATATGTAGCCCTTTCCTTCTCTTGCTTAATTCTGTATTCTGTTTAGTCTTTTGATGTTAATAGTTTAAATTACTCTGAGTACTTTTCCACCATGAGGGTTTCAGTTCTTCTACCCAACATCTATACATATAATGATCTGCTTCCCCAGATGCCATGAGAAGTTTTATGAACTCTTTTAGAGCCCTTCCCCAGAGAAGGTGCATTTAATAGACGAAAATGTCATGTTTCATTAGTACGTTCGCGCTCACACAAATTTAGTCTTCAGAAAAGATAGTGCTTGTAAAACTGAAACCAAAATTGACAAATTGTGTCTCTGTTTTAAAAGCTGAAATCCTCAAATAGAGAATCATTCTCACACATGTCAGCCTGAATCCATAAAACATTTACTTTCCCCTGGAATAAAAATTCTCCGGCTAAGCCTCTTTCCCAGAGAGACAAATCTAGAGGCACACGTCCTGAGCCCTGGAGGTCATCCAGCTTGATTCTGGGAGCTGGACAGCGTCATCCATGACTCGGCCCCTGTGTGGATGTGGACACAGAGTCAGGGATTCCTTTTAGCCTCAGTGGGCACGGGTTAGCACATTAATGACATCGCATGTCTCCACTGATCTCTGCCTTCAGAACCAAAGGCCAACTATGCCGCATGCAGACAGGCTATTAAGTTAAGGAGCCAAGTTGATTCCATTCACTGAAGAGACCAACTGGCTGAAGGGTTGTAAAATGCATCTTACAAGTGAACAGAGCTTCATAAATAGGGATTTACATTCTTACTTTCAGATCCTATGAAAATACTCTCTCCAGGGTTTGAGCAGCCTGACAAGTAGATCCAGGAATGCAGAAGTCTAGCAGAGTACCAAGATCTACAACTCTGGACTCGGTAGAGAATTCAAATCTGCCACTTAGAGACAGTCTGGGGACTTTGGTCTTGAATCTGCCATTTAGGGACTGCCCAGGGACTTTGCTCAAGTGATTTGATCTGAGTTATTTCCTCAAACAGAGGGTTACTATAAGGGCTAGATCACTTACTTAAGAAATAACTACTGAAAATCCACAATGTGCCTAGGACTACCCTATATACCGAGCAGACAGCAATGAATAAACCAGTAAAGATTCTGTCCTCATGGAGAGTGATACTTTTAATGTTTTGTTTTTAAAACATTAATGTATTATTTTTTGATGAATAAAATTGTGTATATTTGTCATGTACAATATGTTTTGAAACATAAATACCTATAGACTGGCTAAATTTAGCTAATGGATGACATGCATTAACTCACATAGTTTTCATTTAGGGGGTGACAATACTTAAGTCCATTCTTTGCAATTTTCAAGAATACAGTACATTGTCATTAACTGCAGTTACCATGTTGTATGCACAAAGTTCACATTTTAATTCAAGCAAACAGATAACAAACAAATATGTTGGGTGGTGATAAGTACTAGAAAGAAACATTTAAAGAGCATCACCCTTGTTGTGCTGTTGAGAACAAACTCTACAAAGGCAGAAAAAGGGAGACCAAAGAGATCAGAGCTGTGGTGATAAATAATTCAAGCACAAAATAATGGTAACTTAGAATCCAAGGAGAGGGGTGGCTATAGAACGGTAAGAACTAGTCAGAGTCTGCATTTAAAAGTGAAGATGACAGAAGCTACTGAGGATTTGAAGATGGAGTCTAAGAAAAAGCAAGCAAACAAGGAAAATCCCAAAGTTTTAGGTTTAAGAAGTAACTGAATAAGCATTGGAATCATTCACCAAAAATGTGTGTGTGTGTGTGTGTGTGTGTGTGTGTGTGTGTGTGTGTGAGTGTCCTTTTGGTTGTCTGGCTCTCCAGATGAACTAGTCAAGAGTTCAGTTTTGGAGACATTTATCTGATAATGCCTATTAGGTACACAAGTAAAACTGTTGAGGAGGAATTAGATACGTGAGTTTGGACTTCAGGGTAAAAAGTCAGACAGCAATATAAAAAGGAGAACCATCAATGTCCACGTGGTATTGAAAGACTTGAGATGAGATGAGAGCTGGAAGAAAATACAACCAAGGATGAAGGCCCAGTTATAGCAGTATCCAGAGGCTAGTCCAAAGTGGAGGAGCCAACAAAGGAGAGAATTAGCAGGGTAGAAGTGGGAGGCAGCGGACAGGTGGAGGAACATCAAGAAAATTCTTCATGTATCATCAAGGTATTCCACAGCACACTGTTTCTGATCAGGAACCTCATTTCACAGCACAAGAAATGTAGAAATGTGCTCAGACACAAGAGATTCACTGGTCTTACCACACATCCAAGGGTGCAAATCAGCTGATTTGAAAGAATGGTGCTACGGCATATCCAGGACTCAGTTAGAGCTCCAGTTAGGAGACAGCATCTAAGATTGGGATTCTGACTTACACAGTACAGTAGATGCACCAAATCAGCAATCAATGTGTTGTCAGAATGCATGTTCCTGTAGTCAAGGGATGGGAAAGAGAGTGACTCCTCTCATGATTACATTTAATAGTCTACGCAGGATTTTTCTGTGCATGCTTGCCACTTTATCTCTCTGGTTTAGAGGTCTGGGACTCAAGGGAAGAATATGTCTACTAGGAGACACAAAAATGCTGCTACTCTATTGGATGTGGAGACTGTTGTTCCATTTCCAAGGGGCTCCTCATGCAAATGAACAAACTGGGAACTGCTGTGTCAGGAAGGCTGATCCTGTTCACCAAGGAGAAATCAGGCTATAGCTGCACAATGGGGGCTAGAAAGATGTCTGAGAGCCAGCAGATTTTCTGTACCTCTTAGTATCTTCTTGTCTTTCCCAAGTTAATGGAAAACTACCACCAGCATAAAAAGCAGGGCCATTGTGAAATGAAGGTTTGGGCCAACCCACCAGTAAAGAACCCCAATGAGACAAGGGTGAGGGAATATGCAAAGGCCAACAAGAGAGTGACAGTTGTGGCCTTCTGACCAGAAACAATGCCCAGAGCTCTGTCTATTTTCTCTCCTGCATGTGTATATTTTAACCAGTTTCACCTTTCCTTGCTCTCCTTTGTCACTATTTTATATGAGGGATTATTAATAGTATTAGGTTCATTATTAGTCGTTATATCAGTTTATGTGGAGCTGTAACTAAATTAGAAAAATATTTAGCTTCACCAGAGACAAACCCCTGACCACTGGGATTTTGTTTTCCTTTTTAGGGGAGACAGTAACTGGTGCACTTGGACAGAGGATGACTACACCTTGCTAGGCGGATGCATTTGCTTTTGAAAGTTCAAATATGTATATGAAGGCTGAGCTTCCAAGGGGTGGCAAGGCTGTTAAATCAGCTGTTGACATCAGCCCCAACTGCCTATTCTAGATTCTTCTCTGTGAGGCTGGTGCTGAGGTTCAAGATTTCTTCTTTGCCACCTGGACTCTGCTACAGATGCCCTGGAGGAAAACAAGCAGTAGGGGGAGAAGCTCTCGTTTCCACTGGCCTCATCCCAGCAATAATCTTCACTTTAGCAGCGGCAGTTGAGTCCCGGTTCCAGCTAATTCCAACACCAGTTGGGTGTTGTCTCCTGATATGTTTGAGCCCCGTCTCCCAGGATCACCTTCTGTACACACAGCCTTCTGCATGATAACCTATATCTCTTTCCTTTTGTTTTCTGGCCTTGGGTGAGTACTGCTTTCTTCAGGTGCTGTCAGCAACAGCAAAAATATCTTGTTAGGCGTGTTTTCCCTTTTTCTGATTGAACCCCAGAAATACTGAGCATATCACTACATGCAGAAAGTACGTCAAGAACCACGCTGTGACCGATTTTATTAAATACTGCTCAGAGGCTGCGTAAGGTGATGATGGAGAATTGACTCTGGTTTTTAGAGTTGAGGCAAAGAGTTTAGCACAGTGCTCTCCACTGAGGAAGTGTTCAACCAACAGTAGTGGCTATTTCTTTCTTCTATGAGGAAAATTCTGTCTGTCCTCACTTCACGGCTTCACCAGATTGGTATTCAGTGATCACACTTGCCCCAACATCATGAGCAGTGACTATATTCATGGCCCAGGTACAAGAAGAGAAGGGATGAGGGCAGGACAAGCTTCTTGTCCTCAGGTATTTGCAGCCTGTAGGTGGAGATGCCGGTGAG